GCTCCATCTAGTTGCAAGACAACTTGGGAAACACCTTTACTATAGCAATTCATGAAAACTGAATTTGGAAGTTCCATCTGTGATGTGAGAAGGAGACCACTGGAGATAGGAAATAACTAACCATCTTTACCACTCATACTGAAAGGGGATTTTTGTATCTTGTATACCAAGAAGAGCCTAGGGGCAGTGTGAGCATACTATCAGCAAAGTTTGCCAGGCTTCTAACTTCTCTTGGAGACTAGCTCTGTTCTGTCATGTTCCACAACTGTTGCCTCTGTAAGCTAAATCCTTGCTGCTCATTAACACAAAGACAGAGTTTCAAGCATCACCTTCAGCTGCAACAAAGAAAAAAAAAAAAGATGAGTAAGTACCCTTCCCTGTTCTCCCTTTTAAATAGAGAGAAAACTTTCCCAGAAGCAGCCAGTGGATCACCCCTTCAGGGTTATGGGCTAGACGGCAATTGCATGACAGTCCCGGGTGTGATATAATCACTGGCAAGGACAACCCACCGTGCCAAAGGCACAAAGCAATCAGCACCTACCCTTCAGGAGCCAAAACAGCATCACATGGAGGAGTTTCAGTACCTGAACAATATCTCTGCTACAAAGTAACAGGGAGAGGATGTTGGAGTTGGCATCTGACAAGGTGCGCCATATTCCACATGCTAACTCTGCCATCGCAGCGTACTGCCAGTGCTAGCCAGATAACCTGGACTCTTAGACAGCACTATCAGAATTAGTTAGATAAATCAGACCAGTTCTATATGCATCAACAAGTAACTGAAAAATGAGTGAAAGTGTGGACTAGAATTACTCGGGTAGATTGAGTAGACTATAAAACAGCTCTCTTTGTTCACCACTCTGTCCCTGGAGATTTTATACACCAGCTTACATTTTAGATAGACCTACCTAAGTTAAGCATTAATATAAATAAGGGAGCACTCTGTTCAGAGAAACTGATGATTTTTTTAATGAAACTTTTTGTGGGGTGTTTTTTTTTTTTTTTTTGGTAAACAGATACTTTTATCACTGAGCCACACCTCCAACCCTGTTTTCTGCTGGTTTTTATTAAGAGGGGCTTTCTCTTCCTGCCCAGGTACGTACCTAGGCATGATTGTCCTATGTTAGGGCTTCCATCATAGCTAGCATAACAGGAGCTCACCACCAAGCCCAGTGTCCATTCAGAAAAAAAAAAAAAAATCTCATGAACTCATCCTGGATTAGCCTTCAGACTTGACATTCCCAATCTCAGCTTCCCAACTAGCAAGGAGTATAGGCATGAGTAAATGACACCCTGCTAAAATCCATTTCTTTAAAAGCATCAAATCATTCATGAGCATTTCAAGAAAGCCACTGGATCCATCACAGTGTGGCTGACTAAGCAGTGATGAAGGAGGCCAGAAAATGTTCCCCTATTTGCTGCTAGTAGGCCCAGAAGTACACACTAGCCACAACCAAAATCTGATTTTTCCAGCTCTTTTACAACCCTTCTAGGACTTCTTTACGTGAATTTCACAGTTGTTTTCCTTTTTGACTCATTAAAAATTCAATTGTAATTTTTAAAGGAAGTGATATTATTGCTTATACAGGAAAACACATTGTGTACGTTTTCTTTTTTCTCATCTAAAATTTGTTTTCAGCCAAACCAAAAGAAGTCTTAATGCACAATTAGATAGAAAAGAAGAATGTTTTATACTGATCACTGGTACTAGGGTTGTATAAAATTCACTCCTCATTAGATCAATGCTAAAAGTCTTGCTGAAGGGCAAGAGATGGCAGTGCGATTAGTGAGATTAGTGAGTTAGTCTCAGTATCGTTTATTAATAGAAACACTTTATCAAGGAAGTTACTAGACCATCCTAAAAGTGAATTCCTTTTTTAAGATACATGGGTCTTGTTCTGGATATGGCAGTACATGCTTATAATCCCAGCTACTCCGGAAATGTAAGTAAGAGGATTACACTCTGCCCAGGCCAAAGCAGAAAACTCTATCTACAAACAAACTAAAGTCTAAAAAGCTGGAGGTACAACTTTAAGTGGTAGAACACTTATGTACTAGTACTCAATCTCCAGCACCTCCAAAAAGAAAGAGGATAAGAAGAAGGAATTGAGAAAGGAAAAAAAGAAAAGAAAAACATGAATGTACTAGTACAAAAGTGATACATTTGGAAAGGAGATAATTCCTTAACATCTGATACCTGTTTGCATGTAGACTAAATCATAAAGAAACAATATATTTGCAAGACATACATCATGATTATCATAGTTTGGAAGAACGCAAGCCACATGACAGCTGTTATATGATTCATCAGAAAGCAAACACAGATTTAGTCAGCAGCATCTTGGAGGTACAGCTGCTTACAACACATACAAAATAAAGTTAAAAGAAAATTCAAAATATATGGACTAGTTATTCTCTGGGTTAGCAAAATATATCAAGTGCCAATAAAAGTTCTGTCTCTGCTCCAGGAACTTTCAACTCCATCGTATTTCACTGATGGCTTCTTTATGAGAAACAGATAGTAAACCTGTTTCGGTGGGACTGTCGTATCTCCCATTGTTTTACTAAAATTAAATCAAAGCCTGCAGATATTTATACATTAAAGAATGGGCAGAGGGCTAAAGACAGGGTTATGGCTTTATTCAGGGTCCTGAGGCTTCAAAACCACCAAGAAATCCCAACCCTGTGATCTGCATTTGCTCATGTGCCAACAGCTTGTGCTGGGAACTGTTTCCATGTTTCCAAGGTTCTTTTCTCCTTTGGCAAGCCCGGTGTTCACATATGGAGCTATGTTTCATTTTATCTGGAGGTGCTTTAACTCTTTTCTTCCATCCTACCTTCAAAGTGCCCACCCAGATATAGGAAGAGATAAAATTGGACAAGACTAGGGAATGTAATAACTGTCACACAAGCTGCTCTTCACTTCATTTGTTCAAATATATTCATTATATGTACTTTGTGGGCCATGGCTTTTTTTCTTTTCTTTTTTTTTTTGTTGGTCGTGGGGCTTGAACTCTGGGCATGGGTGCTGTCCCTCAGCTCTTCAGCTCAAGGCTAGCGCTCTACCACTTGAGCCACCGCATCAACTTCCAGCTTTTTCTGTGGTGCTGAGGAATCGAACCCAGGGCCTCATGCATGCAAGGCAAGCATTCTTCCACTGAGCCATCTTCCCAGCTCCTCTTATATTATTGTATGAGTAATAATTTAGTTTTGAAAGAATGTTTTCTTATGTGAGTTTAATTGCTGTGTCAATGGACAGGTCATGACTTTGAGGTGGTAATATAACAGTACATCACCTTTTAGGCTTCACAAGATTACTGTGAGATTATGCTTTTATTTTAGGCCTTTCTACCACTTTCTAGGGACACTCTGTGTGTGTGTGTGTGTGTGTGTGTGTGTGTGTGTGTGTGTGTGTGTTGGCGTGTGTGTGTGTGTTGGCACTTAGGGCCTCTTGCTCTCACTTGGCTTTTTCCCTCACAGCTGGTGCTCTACCACTTGAACTACACCCCTACTTTTGACTTTTTGCTGGTTAACTAGAGATGAAAGTCTCACAGACTTTTCTGCTCTGGCTGGCTTCAAACCGAGATTCTCAGACCTCAGCCTCCTGAACAGCTAGCATTATGAGCATGAATCACTAGCAGACTGCTAGGCACAGTCTTATAAGTACTACACACCCACTTTTGCGAGGGACCAAGTACACATCCTTCTTACCCTGCTCTTCATTTCCTTGACTCACACGACAGCCAGATTCTTAAAAGGATGGCAGGTTTTCTTTAGCTAAACAAAATATCCATCTCTCCTCCTTTTTAATAAACAGTGGCAGAAGGGTATGTGAGACTAAGTTTTATTCCCTGACAGCGTGGGTGGTTGATGATTCCCTCCCTTCCAAGAAAAGACCGCCGAGCAGGAATCGGGAAAACCGATTACTGTACACTGCCCTTAGAGCGCCTGAGCGGACCTCTTATTAAAATGGTTTAACATGCCATAGTGATCCACAAATACGGAATCAAGACACCAAATAAGCGCTTTCCTCTTGGGAAAAAGTTCAAGGTCCAGAAAAGGGTGCTGCTAGGAACAGCTTAACCATTTCTTTTAAAGACTTAAGGTAACACTTAAAGAATCTAACACCTAGTTTTAAAGGGATGTGTGCAGCAAGGAAGGGGAGAGGGAAGAAGCAGCTGAAACTCTCAGAACCGCCCCCCTCCCCAGGTTAGGGTGTGGTTGAAGGCCGAGGGGGGCGGGGGGGGGGGAGGGCTGGAGGTGTCGCGGCCGACTTGTGACTTCCTGAAGTTTCAGCTCGGTTCGGTTTTCTCCTGCCTCTAGCTCTCGTCTGAGTCACCCTATCTCTGCCGATCTCCCAAGATGAGTTTCTGTCCTTCCGTCACTTTAGCAACTGTTACAAAACACTCATGGTGGGGGGGGTTCCTCTTTTGCCACCCCCCCCCCCCCACTGGAGGAGGGTAGGGAAGCACACAACCTGAGGACTCAGGAAGTCACCCTGCCAGGGCTCTCCAGTCCGGTGCCAGCTGGGCCCCACCGCCCCGAGCTGTCACCAAAGCCAGCCAACTTTCCGTGGAAAGTCCGCTGCTGGCCGGGGTCAGGGATCCCCGGAGGGAAATCTCAGCAAGGCCGGGGCATCCCCGCTGTTCTCCGGCTCGCTCGCTCGCTCTCTTTCAAAACCTGCTCCCACGGAGTTACTAGGGGGCCGGGTACCCCAACACCAGGTGCTTCAGGACGGAGGGGTGGGGGATGAGGGACGATCACCAGCAGAACTGACCCTGGGGCGGCCAGAGCCGGAGCGCCAAGTCCCCCGGTCCCTGCGTCCTGCACCTGACTTTCCCACGCGTCCCCCGGCGCGTCGCAGCCACCCCGCAGTCCCCACCGCAGCCACCCGGCCTGGCGCGCAGGGAACCCGGCTGCGGGCGGCGGGGTGCGCCCCCGCGATCCCCGGCCCCGCCGAGATCGGGTCGGGTAGGAAGGCGCGTGGGTCCCCGCGGTACCTCGGATGTAGGCGCACTTGCCCTCGTCCAGCTGGCTGGAGGCCGAGCCGCCCATGGCGGTGGGTGGTGCTGCCCGCGGTGCCTACCGCCGCCCCGACTGCCCAGCGCGCGCGTCCCGGGCACCACCGACCGCTCGGCCGCCCCGACGAGACCCGCCGCTCGCTCCCGCCGCTGGCTGCGTCTGGGAACCCGGCTCGGCGACTCCTGGAATACTTCCTCCGAGAGGCGTCGCCTTCTAGGGCGCCTCCTCCGGTCCGCGCCCTCGGAGGATGGGTGGGCTGGCCTCGGGCAGGCCTCCCGCCCGCGCCGCCCCGCTGCGCCGCTCTGCCTCGCGAGGGCTTCCCGCTCCTCTCTTCGCCCACTTTTATTACATATGCGCAGGTCCTGGGGCTTGAACTCAGGGCCTGAGCACTGTCCCTGAGCTTTTTCACTCAAGACTCATGTTGTACCGCTTGAATCACAGCTACACTTCTGGCTCCCACCCCCTCCCAGTCCTGGGGCTTGAACTCAGGGTCTGGGCACTGTCCCTGAGTTTCTTTTGCTCAAGGCTAGCACTCTACCACTTGAACCACACCACCACTTCTGGCCTTTTCTGTGTCTGTGGAACTGAGGAATCGAACTCAGGGCTTCAAGCATGCTAGGTAAGCACTCTACTGTTAAGCCACATTCCCAGCCCAGTTCTGGCTTTTTGGTGGTTAATTGGGGATCAGAGTCTCACAGACTTTCCCTCCCAGCCTGGCATTGAACTGTGTTCCTCATATCTCAGCCTTTTGAGTACTTGGGATTACAGATGTGAGTCACCAGGTCCTGGCACTCTTGGCCTACTTTTTTTTAACGATTAAGGGTAGTGGAGGAAGTTCTAGGAAGAAGTGGACCATTTTCTGAGGCTTTCTGAGAGCTGGGGCCATTATAGTCACACTCCCCCCCGGGGGAAGTCAAGATCTTAATACTTGGCTTGCCTTCCTGTTCAAGAAGCACCTTTGGGGCAGGGTGGGGCTGGTGTACACCTGTAATCTCTGCTACTCCCAAAGTTTGAGAATTGTAGAGATCATGACGATTATGGCTAAAGGTGAATCAAGCCTAAGAGCTGGCTAGACCCATCTCAGTCAACTGCAGTAGGAGGCCATTGTTTGAGAAGTCTGAGGCTGGCAGTGCAACCCCCCCCCCCCCCCCCCCCCGGCAAAAAAGTGCAAAACAAGCTGGAGGTGTGGCTCAAGTGGTACAGCAACTACTTATCTAGTAAGCTGGAGGTCCTGCATCCAAAAGGAGAAAGGGGGGGGGGGGGGCAGGTGCTGGTGACTCATGCCTTTAGTCCTAGCTAGTTGGGAAGCTGAGATCTGGGAATTGTGGTTCAAAGCTAGCCAGGGCAGAAAAGTCCATGAGAATTTTATCTCCAATTAATAACCAAAAAAAGAAAGAAAGCTGAAAGTGGTACTCTGGCTCAAGTGGTAGAGAGCTAGCCTTGAGCAAAAAAGAGCTCAGGCTATGAATTCAAGGGGGAGAAAAGAAGGGAGGAGGAGGAGGGAGATGAGGAGTTTGAGTTCTTTTCTTTTTTTTTTTTAATTTTAATTTTTTGTGAACATACTATACAGAGGGGTTACAATTACATGGGCAAGATAATGAGTACATTTCTTATCAAGCATTGCAGCCTCCTCCTTTGTTTACCCTTCACATCCCTTCCCAGCCTCCCCCCCCCAAACCCCCCCATCCAAACCCCCTCCCTCCCCCCCCACACACACTTAGAAACTCTGGGAGTGGGGCCCAGCAGTGTGTTTCCACAAGCTCTCCAGGGACCTCCTATGGCTGCTGGAATATGGGAACCAGCGATGAGCTATACCTTCCAGCAGCCAAGAAGTTGGACCAAGTAGATTGTGGGTAATAAATGGGTGGAAAAGGAGACAGAAAGGGCAGAAATTATGGCTGGATCCTACAATATACTTCCAGCCATGAAACTTTCTGCGACCTGGTGGAAATCTGTCCTTACACCTAGAAGTGCAGATCTTCTCTGAGCCAAATTGGAAACATGGAAGAAGCCATTTGTCCGGTCCTACAAGCTTGCCACAGCTTCTCCCCAATGAGAGCAGCCTGGGCAGAGGGGCCAGAGCTGATTTCTTTCTTTTTAGTTGTCAGATTGTTCTCTCTCTCTCTCTCTCTCTCTCTCTCTCTCTCTCTGTGTCAGTCCTGGCCTGGACAGCCACAGCTCCATTTACGGCTTTTTGTTGATAACTTGTAAATAAGGGTCTCACAGACTTTCCTGCTCAGGCTTGCACTGAGCCAAGATCCTCAGATCTCAGCCTCCTCAGAAGCTAGGGGAATAAACATGAGCCACTAGTCCCAGCTTAGTTGTCAGATTTTTTTTTTTTTTTTTTTGCCAGTCGTGGGGCCTGAACTCTGGGCCTGGGCGCTGTCCCTCAGTTCTTTAGCTCAAGGCTAGTGCTCTACCACTTGAGCCACAGCACCACTTCCAGCTTTTTCTGCGTATGTGTTGCTTAGGAATCAAACTCAGGGCCTCATGCATGCAAGGCAAGCACTCTACCACTGAACCACCTTCCTAGCCCAGTTATCAGATTTTCAGCACCTGCTATTCATATGACGTTAAGTCCAATGGTCAGCACATACCAGAAGCAGGCCTGAAGAGGACTGTTTTTAAAGTTAGTCACTGGCACTGTAAACACAGGTAATATCACATGCTACACACACACACACACACACACACACACACACACACACACAGAGTCTTGCACAGCCTACATGTCAATCCAGTAGTAAATTCTGTTAATTCTACTTTGAAAATATGTGTAGTGTCAAACCAGTATCCTCTGCTGCCATCTTTCCTCACCTTGATTGTGTTAGTAGCCTCCTACCCGGTCTCCCTTCTGCAGAGACAAAGCAGTCCATAACCTCCCAGGAAAAGGTTTTCTCTCAGTCTTATTTATGACCAATTTCTTTCTTGCTCTCTGACCTAGCCCCTGTAGCCTTTTTGCTCCAAGATACTTGAAGCTCAGGACCTTTGCACATGCTTTCTTATGCCTACACTACATATCCTCTGACAATTACATAAACCACTCCCTAGGTAAGTGTCTCAGCTCATTCAAATCTCCACTGACAGGCTAATGTCTCCGATGATTTGATTGGCCCTTCATCTAAAAACTACTCCTCATTTCTGCCCCTTGTCCTGGTTTCTTTACTTTCTGTCTTCCCCTGCTGAACTATAAGCCACAATGTGAATGATTGTCCTTGTTTTTGCTTTCTAGGATTAAAAAAAAAAAGCTCCTTTGTTTGGTTATTATGTTTTTCTCTAAGGGAAGTATTTGTCCGTTATGCCCTCTGATATATCTCAAATATCTAGGACAGTATCTGGCACATGGCAGATGTTCGGTAGATAACCACTGAATAAAATGGTGAATGAGATGTAAAATGCAATAATCTAGCCTCAGAGCTCTGATTTCAGTGACTAAAGCGCATTTTCATATAACAATGCAACAATGGAAACTATCCAGTTTAACTCATCTGTCAGTATGTTAGTTGGCTTAGAATGAAGTAGAGCAGTAACTACTTTCATTATATAAATTGCTAGCATGTCTATAGTTACAGAAGAAAATGAATTCAGATCTCACACCAGAAGTATAGTTGCTTTTTGTTTGTTTGTTTTTGTTGATCTTGGGACTTGAACTCTGTCCCTAGGCATTACGCTCTCCTCCCTCCCCCCCAGCTCTTCAGCTCAAGGAGAATGCTCTAAAACTTGAGCTATAGCGCCACTTCTGGTTCTCTGGTGGTTAATTAAGATAAGAGTCTCACAGACTTTCCTGCCCAGACTTTTCCTGGCTTTAAATTGTGGTCCCTATATCTCAACTTCCTGAGTAGCTAGGATTACAGGCATGAGCCACTGACACCTGGCTTCAGAAGTACAGTTTTATTGGGGGATCTTTTTTTTTTTTCCAGTTGTGGGGCTTGAACCCTGGGCCTGGGCACTGTCTCTCAGCTCTTCAGCTCAAGACTAGTGCTCTACCACTTCAGCCACAGCGCCGCTTCTGCTTTTCTAGTGGTTTATTGGAGAGAAGAGTCTCACAGACTTTCCTGCCTGGGTTGGCTTTGAACTGCATTCCTCAGATCTCAGCCTCCTGAATAGCTAGGATTACAGGCACGTGCCACCCGGCTTTATGGGGGGATCTTGATGAGGAATTCTTGGAGAGAAAACCATCATTCCAATCTATTATTTTTTTTTTCTCTTTTACAAGATGGACAAGTAGAACAAGGTGCAAGGAAGATTTGAATGACGGACCATTAAAATTAGTTTTATCTTTGAATTACTAGCAGGGCATGTGATGTTGTCAAGTCGCTTTACTTACGTGTGTGTGTGTGTGTGTGTGTGTGTGTGTGTGTGTGTGTAAAAGAGAGGGGGGGGGAGAGAGAGAGAGAGAATGTGCACGTGTGTGCCAATACTAGAACTTGAACACAGGGCCTCACACTTTCACTTGGCTTTTTCATTTAAGGTTGGCACTATATCACTTGACCTATACCTCTGCTTCCTGTTTTTTTTTTTTTCTTTTTGGAGATAAAAATCTCATGGACCTTTCTGCCCAATCTAGCTTCAAACCACAATCTTAAGATCTCAGCTTCCTGAGTACCTAGGATTTCAGCCACCTCCACTTACCTGTGGTCTTAGTTAGCTTCCCATTGCTATACAAAACTTTAGGTCTGCTGGGGAGAACAGCCATCTCCCCCCTTTCCTCTTTGAGAAACACAGAGTGTGGCCTTAGCAGAAATCACATGTCTGAAACCAGTACTCACCTGACTGTCAATCACCTGATTGTGACTCAGCAAAAGACCCTAGACTCTGAGGTCACTTCCTCATCCATTGAGGTCACTTCCTGAACCGCCCCAGTCAAGCCTCCTTCAGCCAATGAGAGGTTCCCCAAGCTCTGAGATCACTTGTATATCTAGTGTAGTCACACCACCCCACCTCTCCTTATATAATCCCTCTCAACCACAAGTTCTCTCTCTCTTCTCTCTCTGCACACTTCCACCTCATGCTGGCCAACAGTTTGCTTCCCCCCCACCTCCCCCCATAAACTCTTTTCTGCCTGAGCCTTGTGGCAGTCTCCTTTCTGTAAACCTCACACAAAACACTTGAGATAATCAGCTTACAAGGAAAAAGAGCTGGGCTGGGACATAGCTCAATGGTAGAACATC